TGGTGCCCATATGAGTTTGGTTATGAAACAATTGGTTAACATTTTAATCGGATGATGAGATTAGGATCACAAATACCACTTGGAAATATTTATGTTTTATGCCTATGTTAATGAATTAAATACTTGTGGATTTATTCGCATTTGTTTATATTTTTTAACTAAGAATAGAATATAAATAAATTCAAAACTTTGAGAATTTTATTTCATAAATAATGCTATCATACAAGAATGGGGATGTTGCTTCATATTTTACAAAGTACTGTTACAAGGAAGTACATTAAAATTCTCAAATCCTAAGGGATTACATTAAAGCATCTATCCTAAATCCTAAAAGTATCTAAAGGTCTTCATGTTCGTATTTGAACTTCTCCATGAATCCTCAGCTAACCTGCACATCAAAAGAGAACAGACAGTACAGAAAATGTTAGAATTTTTTTTCGACACTCTCAGAACAATGTCATCATCGAGTGCCGGGAGTGGCACAACCAAAGCTGCGTCCTACCCCCGTTACCGATCCGCGCCATTGGCGTCAGATCAGGTGATCCCTGTTCTTATCATACGGGACAACCGAGAAAGATGAAGAAGTAAGAGAAGTCCGGGCCGATAAATGATTAACTGAAAAGGGTTTATGCCATCATCGAATAAATCCCATTTGGTTTCCAAACTGATACAAGGGTAAAGCAGCACAATCAATTTGGTCATAAACCCGGATGCCGACGGGTATGAGCCACTTTGTGTTCAAAGTTTGTCAACACCTGAAATTCACCAAAACAGCATCAGTACAAAAGTTCATAACAGAACTCAACACCAAAACAGTTCGTAAGTTGCACCTAAATTGCATAAAACAATTCACAGGATGCTCAAATTGAACGAAATTTCAATTCACAAGCCGCTGAACCAGCTCGAAAAATAGAATGGTAAGTACATCAAAGGAATCAATTTCAAAGGCTGTCTAAAAATTACATGCAAATCATTATTCACAACCACAGAACAACAGAACGGTCCCGGAAACAAGTCTAGTTCTTACCACAGAAGAAATACTCAGCAAAATCGAAAAGCATACGGCCAATTCAAAGAACCAGTTCAGCAATGTAAACTATGCTGGATTATTAGAATCAAACCACAGCAGGAAATGCCCAACTCAGTTCGTGCCAGGTCACATTGGAAAATCAAAATGCAAAGCCTAAGGCTTAGTGATGAACATCATAGCCCAAATTCGCAGCCACCTATCAATTCAGGAAAAAAGAGAAGTGAATTTCAGTTCAGACAAAGAAGAATCGAGATGTCAAAGACAGTCGAAGCTGCCTCAAAAAAGGTTTCATGAGCATCATATAAACTCATTAAGTTTCATGTTCGACAAACAACAAAACAAGCCAACAGCGGGTAGCAGAAAGTCCGCCGCGTATCAGAGAGTTTAATCCCAGTGAATCTATATCAAAAAAAAAACAAATCAGTTCATCATAAGCAATTCACTAAAAGCCACAGAAATAAAGGAATCAACATGGATTCAGCCCTCAGTTTAACCATCATTGGGCGTGAGAATTCGAGTGGCTGGGAGAGCCACGGCCGAAGCCGTTACCAACTCCCTACCGAACGTCGAACTACAAGCATTGGTAATTTCGTGCAAGCTATCAACTCAAAATATCAGCTCAGACCCAAAGGTCATCATCGCTAAGGCAACGCAACCAAAACCAAATGGCAATAGCATCCCTCAAAGGTTCAGACCAATGGTCATCATCACCATATGACCATTCTCGGTAGCATTGATCCGTCAGTAACCACACCATCAGTTGCCCTCTGAAAGAAGAAAAAAAGAGTCAGTGAATTTGTATCAGGAAAACCAGAAAGTTGAACTGAAACATGATTCAGTTAGTCCATCAGTTCACAAATCCAAGTGAACAAGCGTATCAGTTCAAAGAAAAAGCAGACAAAGTTCACAAAGCCATATCAATTCACAAACTGTATCCAAGACCGAAGCAAGTTTGGTTGGACCCAAAATGAATTGAATACGAGCAGGGCTCAAGGATATCCGCACCATGAACCGGTTTGGTCAAAACCACACATGCAAAAATCCAGAAGATATCAAAAGGTGTATCCCAAATCGAATCAGTAAACCATCATAAAACAAAATCCAATCAGTATCAGAAAAGGAAAGATAACATTCGCCATATCCAGATCAATGTCAAAGCATATCAGATAGAAGCACAATCAAATCCAATCATCGTAAAAGCGAATCAAATCAAGTCAGATTGGAAAGCAAAATTTCGAATGTGGATCAAATAAAACGTAAGCACAAAGGCCCATTCGAAAATCAGAAAGGGATATATAAAGAGAACGACATCACCTGAGGGGGAGGCCGAAAAATCACTGAGCAAAAAAAAACCCTAGAGGGAGAACACGGGGGACGAAAGAGAGAATAAGACGGCCACGAAGGAATACGAACGAAACCCTAAAGGTCCATAACTACCGGCGCCGTTTCTTGAGCAAGTAAAGCGTTAACCCGACTGACGAAGCCTCAGGAAAGCAATTCCATCGCCGAAAAGACCGCCTCCGTCTGGTGACGGGCAATCAATCTCCAGATCGTGTTGCTTCATCATCGGCGTGTCGTCAAGGAGATGTAAGCGAGGAACACCAGATATTTTTTGTTCCTAACATTGTTTCATTCAATTTCAGGTTTCTTTAACACAGAGATGACGAGGAAAAGGTCATAGGTGAACGTCGGAGAAGACGGAACCACAAGGGAAAGAAAAACGGCGCAGCTGAAGTTGTGAAACCCTAGGACGGGATTGAGTGTTTGTTGATGTGTGTACGTTGGGTCGGGCTAATACAACCACCGGCCCAACCCCTTCTTTTTCTTTTTTAAACAAATTTTTTCTTATTATTTTGAATTGTTTTTTTACTATTTTATTCTATAATATAAAAACTGTTTTTGTGAAAATATTATAAAATTTAAAAAAAAAAAACTTTTAAATAAGGATAATTAAAATAAACACGTCACACACGTAAGTCGATTTTAATCGCCGTCTCACTTCCTAAGGATATCCCTCAAGTTGCCTACGAATAATGGTTAAGTGGGGTGTATAAAGCAAGTCCCTCAAATAGAAAAAAATCATCAAAGTCCCTTATGGTTGCCTTTACGAATCGAGTCCCTTTCGAAAAATGATGATGGTCCCTTATATGTGCTTATTACATCCCACAATGGCCTTCAAAGTCAAATTGTCCCTCACATGTCCCTTAACATCCAAAGTAAGGACTACCTACTCCATTATAGTAGGGATAGTCTTACTAAAGGAAAGAATGAAGAATAAGAAAGACCTTTAAACATTAGGGTAGGTTACTCCTAGGTGCTTGCTCACTTCAAAACTGTTTCGCACTTAAACAAATTTTCAACAAGTTTTCAAACAAGTTCTTAACACATCCTTACATGGATTATTTATTAACTATTCTGAAAATTTTCTATTCACACACTACAATTTCAAAACAATTCAAAAGTGAGCTTAAGTACCTAAGAGCCCATGGATAACCATGGATGAAAAGGATGCTAATACCTTCCCTTTTCATAACCTACCCCCCGGACCCAAAATATTCTCTAAGGTCTTTCCTGTTCTTTTATAACCTTTCCTTATGGATAAAATAAAAGTCGGTGGCGACTCTTGCTATCCGCAACATTGTTTAAAGTCAGTTCACCGGGTTACACACGTTCTCCACGTGCTCTCCTCCGCGGGGACACGTCATCAACCAACTACCCACTTACGAAAGAGATGGTCAACCCACCTTTTGGAGATCACGGGACGGTTGAACTAGGGTGAAGACCACGTGCTGGTCTTCACTACGCCACGTAAGCCCTAGCAGTCACCTAGGTTGGGCCTGACAATCCAGGCCAACACAAGTGACCGTTGGCCCTGCGCTGGGGTCTTTCTATAAATACCCTCTTTCACAAGAGGGTCAAGTATTCTCTTCTTAACCACTCTTCTGTATTTTGCTCCCACTCTGGTCCATTACTTACTTTGGCATCGAAGTATCTTTCAGGTACACCCCCCTCCTCGTCCTATTTTCTTGTGAGCAGCTCGCAGATCAACGACGTGTGGCAGGTCATTGTTCCCCTTCTGATCAGGTCAGATCAAATGTACATATTAATATAGGGGGAAAGAGAGAGAGTTTTTAATATAAAATAAAAATGTATTTTCATATTTTAAATAAGTTGTACTATGAACAAAAAGTTGTCCAATACTTTAGTAAGGAATAAAAATTCCAATTTTTGTGAAGTTGATAATCCTGATTTTTGTCGAATCTCTTGAATAGTTTTATAATCAAATATAGAACAATTAGAGTTGTGCTCTTCCGTCACTTTTTTTTTAACAAATCAAACCCACCTTAAGTAAAAAAAAAAATTAAGTGAAAAAAAATATCTTTGTTATATATTCAAAATAACTCAACTAAAATTAAGTGAAAAGAAAAAATAGAAAGGGTATACTCCAAGCTTTTCTACATCTCACACTGTGTCCGAATCCGAATCATCACAATCACATTCTTTATTACTTTACTTTCTTTATTATTTTTCTTATTTTGTGTGTTCAACATCTATTCGCCCAACACAAAACTTCTTTTCTCCGATGACCACCTTCATCTCCGGCGATCCCCCTCATCGCCGCCGGCATTAACCTCACTCCCCATGTAACCGCAACATCAACAATTCCTTTTCCCAAAAACGGTATCAAATTTTTCATCTCTTTTACTCTTTCTCGGTAGTGATTTTCCCTATTTTACGCATAACAATCAAATTCCCCATTCACCAATTGCAATCAAGTAAAAAAGAATATGCTTCTCTTATTCGATCATTATTAATGTCACTTTATTACTCACATTAGCGTTGTAGAATCCAATCGCGTTATTACTGCTTTCAAAACCGCGTTTTCGTTTTTCATTTCATAATAACTAACTTTTTTTTAATCTTTTCAGTGTGGAATTTGAATTGAGTCTGGATTCATCTAGCATCATCAATGGGGTTGAAGCCGAAGGAGGAGCGATGCAACCCGGTGAAGAAATCGGGTCCAGTAACAATGGATCATGTTCTGTTAGCATCACAGGAGACAAAGGAAGAAAGGGATAAGAGAATTCAAAGCCTTTTTGATTTTTTTGATAAGGAGAAATTCGGGTATTTGGAATTTGCACACATTGAAGCTGGTTTATCAGCTCTTGAGATTCCTTCTGAGTATAAATATGCTACGGATTTGTTGAATGCTTGCGATGCAAACAAAGACGGGCGTGTTGATTTTGTTGAGTTTAAGAAGTATATGGATGATAAGGAGCTTGAGCTTTACCGGATATTTCAGGCTATTGATGTTGAACATAATGGTAGCATTTTACCAGAGGAGCTCTGGGAGGCACTTGTAAGAGCAGGCATGTCTTGTTTTTTCTTTTGCTGCCTTTGTTGTTATACAATTCACTGTCAATTTTATTGATGTCTTAGTTGTTTGATTGTTTTACTTTCTCTTGATTTTGATTTATATTTATGTTTCCTGGTATATGCTAATTTGAGATGCAATGAAATTCAACGACTCTTATTTTGCAATGGAGAGAGAAGATCAGTTGATTATGTGATAAGCAGAGTAGATCACATGGATAGAAGTCAAACAATTAGAGGTAGGGGCAGACCTAGAAAAACTATAAGAGAAGTTATTTAGAAAGATCTCAAGATTAAATTTGGAAAGAAACATGTCTTGGATAGAACATTATGGCGAAAGTTGATCCATGTAGCCGACTCCACTTAATGGGTGGGATAAGACTTGGTTGTTGTTGTTATTTTGCAATGGATTCCGCAGTCACAAATTCACAAATTCAGTTAGTAAATTAGAATTTGAATGAAGAGTGATTGATTTGATAAATTAGAATGGTTGAATGAAGATTGAATGACTCAATTTAGGGATGACAGTAAATTGAATTCAAGTCTGGAACATGGAGTATGAGTCATTTATACTTCATTCATCCAATGGTTTTGATTTGCTGACCGTAATGAATGTTTGAACTTATGACTTCTTGGAATTTGATTATGGATTACACCTTTTTGTGGATGGGTTGGCCTTTAGCCAATAATTTGGGTAAGCTAGCATAGTAGAGGCAATGCTTAATTTGGATAAGTTGTGCCTGAGATAGTTAGAGTTGTTGTATTGCAAAGTAGCTTGGTAAAATCCCGTATACTTTGTGGAAGCATTTTCTAAATTGTGTTGGACGGTTTAGATTCAACATGAGAATAATGTAAGTGTAGAGAGATGTGCATATTGCGTTGGATGTTTGGTAAGCCTAGACATGATATGATTAGAAATAATAATATTAGAGTGTTGAAGTAACACCTGTAGTAGAAAAGATGGTGAAAAATAGACTTAGGTGGTTTGGGTATGTAGAGAGAAGACCTGTAGATTTTGTGGTAAAGAGAGTAGATCAGATTGAGAGAAATAAAAAAGTTAGAGGAAGAGAAAGACCTATAAAAACTATAAGAGAATTTATTAAGAAAGATCTTGAGATTAATGATTTGGATAGAAGCGTGGTCTTAGTAGAATATTATGGCAAAAGTTGATCCATGAGCCGACCCCACTTAGTGGGATAAGTCTTGATTGTTGTTGTTAATATTACTTTCTAACAAAGAGATACTATACTCTTGAAATGAACAATTATGTGATTTTTTGGAAACAATGAAAATGCCAAAACTTGTTTTTATTATTTTCAAAAATACATCATCATAAAGCTAGCATTTCATCTTCTCTCTATCACAATTGTTCACTTCTAAAGTTTCACATCTTATTGACAAATTAAAATGAACACATGTTAGAAAATTAAAATAGGAAATGTTTTCATAAAGCAAGCGGGGCTTAATGTTTTGTTATCCTTGTCAAGTTGCCATACTTTGACATTTGTCCATGTGTATCCTCTTAGAAACTTGTGTTAAAATAAGAGAAGTTGTGATTACATTTTCTGAGTGGTGAGAGTAATTATTACACATTTTGGCATATTTCTTTCTGTTGGAGGCAATTGATGTATAAAATTTGCTTACCTGTAAAGACTCTTGTTGCATTGTGGAAAGTTACAAGGAAAGGGAGAAAGAAAACCATCTGTTAAAGTACTCTTCTCTCGCATGTAGCCTTATCGACCAAGTGATTTACCTGTTTTTGAACGTTCTTTTAATCAGTAGTCAGACTATTAGCACCAACATCACATATATCAATTGCTATCTGTAACTTCTTTTAGAATACCTTTATTTTAGATACCATCTGTCCTCATTGTTTGATTGACAAATCACTCTAGTTTGCCATTTTATTTTCATGTGTCCTGAATTAGCAATTGATAACTTTAACAAAATAAGCCCATTTGATATCTGCTTTTGATCTAATTTATTAATTGTATTCTTGTTATATGATTCAGATTTTCGTAGTTTTGTGATGTGCTTTGGTAGCTAGTTCATTCTATAAACCACACCAGTCTCTCTATTTCAGGGATTAAAATTGACGATGAGGAACTTGCTCATTTTGTCGAAACTGTTGATAAGGATCATAATGGTGTTATAACATTTGAGGAATGGAGGGATTTTCTGCTGCTTTATCCTCACGAAGCAACTATTGAGAATATTTACCATTATTTGGAGCGGATATGCATGGTCGATATTGGGGAACATGCTGTTATTCCCGCAGGTGTTGGTAAGCACATTCATGCAAGTAGGTATCTGATTGCAGGCGGAGTAGCGGGTGCTGCATCACGGACAGCAACTGCACCTCTGGACCGTCTAAAGGTTGTATTGCAAGTCCAAACAACAAGTGCTCGTATAATGCCTGCAATAAAAGATCTTTGGAAAGCAGGTGGTATAGTAGGATTTTTTCGAGGCAATGGCTTAAATGTTCTTAAGGTGGCCCCTGAGAGTGCCATTAGATTTTATACCTATGAGATGATGAAGAGCTTCATTGTGGATGCTAAAGGTGGAGAGGGGAAGGCCGATATTGGAGGTATGGGGCGGCTGCTGGCTGGTGGTATAGCCGGAGGTGTAGCTCAAACTGCAATATATCCTATGGATCTCATTAAGACGCGACTACAAACACATGCTTGTACAAATGGAAAAGTTCCTAGTCTTGGAGCTCTTTCAAAAGATATATTGGTTCAGGAAGGACCCCGGGCTTTTTATAGGGGATTGATTCCTTCTATTCTTGGGATTATCCCGTATGCTGGGATAGATCTAGCTGCTTATGAAACCTTGAAGGAGATGTCAAAAAAGTATATTATTCAGGACGGAGGTAAAAACAATATACTTATTTGTTTGTTATCTTCGGTATCAGGTAATATTGCCTTCAGTTATGTTTAAATTCTGCAATTTTCTATAGAACCCGGCCCTCTGGTACAACTAGGATGTGGGACGGTATCGGGAGCTCTTGGAGCAACATGTGTTTACCCATTACAGGTCGTCAGAACAAGGTAAGTTTTTCAAACATCTATCATGTTTCTTCAACTATTTTGGCTATCTATAGAACATAGAATGTAAAACTGCTTCTGATTTCAGAATGCAGGCCCAAAGCTCTTATAAAGGAATGGGCGATGTATTCAGAAAAACTTTGAAACATGAAGGACTTCGGGGATTCTACAAAGGAATATTTCCCAACTTGCTCAAAGTTGTCCCTTCCGCAAGTATCACTTACATGGTTTATGAGTCTATGAAAAAAAGTTTGGATTTGGAGTGAAGAAATTTATATGCTTCATTTAGTAACTACTATTATTGAGGCTGACCATTGGGAATACTTTTGCAATGAAGACAATGACGAAAAGAATAAAGTCAACAATTGATTATTGTGACAATTGTTTGAATTGATTCTTATATAAATAACATTACTTTCTTCAAAATTCTTGGGAGGGCAAAATTGGTTTGTCCTGCATGTGCTTCATAAACTACTATGAAGCTTCACATACATTAGCAGATTTTGTTGTATGATAGAGAAGCATACGAAACAGTGTTAGGATCCGATTTTTGTAATTGTAACTTGTAATAATTAGTGGCTTAGATTGATCATCGAACTCTTAAAATTGATAGTATTATTGTTCGACATCTCTTACCTCCTTTATATTCTGGGTTACTTTTGTTGGAAATTCGCAGGTATTTTGCCCAGTATGAATGTCATTCTGATTTAAGGTACTGCAATTTCGTGCCTATCTCATAATGGGGGGTTTCGTTGAAGGGCTGCATGAAAAGTTCTTATTATGGGCTTGGTAATGTAGCATTTAAATGGTCTATTTTGTAATAAAGTTTGTTGATGAAATACAAATTTTTTTTATAAACATACTTATAATATACAGTATTAAAAACTCATTAAGTAGTTCAAGAAAATTATACAATTTTAAATATAAATTATACTTACTTATAATTTCAATTTTATTAAATTTTATTAAGTTCAAAACTATTTTTTATGAAGTATGGAGTCCCAGTGAGAAGCTATGGAGTACTCTATGAAGGTAGGGGTTAAAGAAGAGATATTTAGATAAGAAATAGGAGAAACAAAAAGTGTCGAGTCCAGCCATGCATAATTTCTCTGCTGGACAGTTGAAAAAGAGGAAAAAAATTGGATATTTTGTTTTGCTTTAGGACATGGGAATTGCTTCTCTCACCCTGGTGGAGAAGCACCATAAAGAAATTTCAAAATGTGAAAATCATTTTTAGATGCACCATTTTCACACTAAATATCGTACCTCTCTTTTTTTTTTTTGAAATTAGTTTGGAGACCCAATTCCGTATTCATATACACACCACATATATTTTTAAATTAATTTAGATTCATCTTCATATTCATCCTAGATATAATATGGTCTTTTTACTTAAAATATAAATATTATCTAAAAGTAATTTATTAAGATTTACATTATAGGTATTTCTACTTGTTAAACTAATAAAACTAGTAAAAAGAGTTTGATTGTTTTTCAGTTCTTACCACTTTGAATACAAACGAATGAAAAGTCAAATTGTTATCTTTATCACATAATTGGCTAAACTAAACAAGTTATGTTTCAAAATTTTCAACTCAAAGATCTCCAATTGTTAGATTCAGAAACTTACCAATTCTACAAGAACCTAGGATCCTTCATTTTTTAAATTATCATCAAACGACACAAATCCTTCTCTTTTATGAGTAAAGGAATAAAACATAGATATAACTTCAGTCATATGGCTTTGAACAACCATTATCAAGACAACATTTAATGTTTGAGACTTTAAAGCATACATGCATTATAAACTTTGTTATTATTTTAGACATCAAGATTATTTTGGATTCTCTAACGTTAGTGTAGTGCACATATTTTCTAGATTTCCTATTAAAATTGTGATCATAGAAGTGAGATGAAGAAGAGTTGTTTCTTAAATTATTTTCATGTCTTATTTTATTTTATAGATGAGGTGAAAAAAGACATTTTTATTCCCATGACTCTTTCTAATTAAACACAATAAATAAATAAATAAATAAGAGCATTTTCACCTTAATAGTTACACTTCAACGTATTACAAGTAGATGTCTTATTAGTATTACTAAACGAATTAACATTGTTTTTCATTTCATAATCTAAACTAGTTTTATTATAGGTTTCTGTTTGATTGTCTAGAATGAGATTCAAGATATCTCTCCCTTTGATAAATTTATCAAGTACGTTATGTAAATCATCAATTTTATTTTAGTAAATATTTCGTTTTTCAGAATTGATAGATTTTCCAAAATTTTCATAAGAAGGAGAATAAGGGAAAGGAGAGTTCTGAATTAAAAGACTTTGTTTTTCTCTAAGACAATCTATTTCCTTTAACATTTTTTTAAGAGAAAACATAGTTGACTTAGAGACATAAATCATTTCTTTCAATTTACCTGACTCACTTAAGGTGAGAAAAACACAAAAAAGAACGGAGGGTGGGGGTTGAATTGTGTTAGCTTTTTCTTTCTTTTCTAAAAATCTCTGATCAGATTCTGAACTAAATGTCTAGAATCTGATACAGGGTCAAGTGTTTCTAGAAAATAAAAATAAGTTCAGAGGTAGAGAATGAAAGAAAGAGAGGCCCATAACAAGTTTATATTGGTTTATCCCACAAAACAAGAGTAGTCCAATCCCCTTACACTTCCAAGGGTTTTTACTAGAATCACAACTAATTACAATTGCTCAAGCACACAAGGAAGAGACTTTCAATGCTCAAACACACAAGTAAGAGACTTCTAATGTTCAAGTACACAAGCAAGAGACTTCAGATGCTCAAGAACATAATCAAGAGACTTCCAATGCTCAAACACATAAGTAAGAGACTTCTGATGCTAAAGCACACACATAAGAGACTTTAAATGCTCAAGTACACAAGTAAAAGACTTCTAATGCTCAATAACACACACAAGAAACTTCAGATGCTCAATCATACATGCAAGAGAATTATAACAATCTAACTTAGAGATAAAAGATTGTTTGATTCTTACACTTGATATAAAATCATAGGTGTAAACAAAATACAACTCAATAAGACTCTTAAGACTTATAAATTACTAGATATAAAAATGATAAGAAATTATAAGTTAAACTTATGATTTTGGTTTGGTAGAGTAACAACTCTTTTTAATTTTCAAGGATTAGTTCTTTCTTTAAGTCTTTAGCTCCTTATATTGAGAGATAGAAAAAAAGTCGTTGAAAAGAAGAGCTAACACAAGTGAGTCTTAGAGAAGCTCAATTATAGACGTTGGAATGTTAATTGATATGGTTAATTCTATTGAAAAAATATTTTTAATTCCCTATTTTAAGAGGAATTATCAGTTACATCCTACCTGTTTGTGCAGATTTTTGTTTGGATCAGCACGTAATTAGAAGAAGACAAATTGCTTTTTGAGTCTGATAGTGATCTATCATAATCTTCTTGATCCTTATGTTGACTCAACGGAGTCTAATAACTTTAGAGTCTTGGTCTTTAGAGGTTGATTTTCTTCAGAGTCTGGTCTTCAGAAGTTGACCTCCTTTAGAGTCTGGTCTTCAGAAGTTGACCTACTTCAGAGTCAGAGTCATCAGAGTCTAATTCTCAAGTTGTCATCCTTCAGATTCTGGATCTTTTACCTTCACTTTAAATGTTCATTTTCAGTACCAGTACTAAGTTTATATCATAAGTTTTAGTCTATGATCCTGCACAATTGAATATTTATTAGTATACCCAATTGTTCTTTAAATACTTTTTATTATCAAAACTTTAGAGATATGGTACAAACCAATTTTGTTCCAACAATCTTCCCCTTTTTGATGATGACAAACACAAATATTTAAGAATAATGCTTGTTGGTTTAATTAACAAGTTGATTTCAGAGTCTGAGGTTTGTAAGCTCCCCCTGAGTCTGATAGTCCAAAAAGGTGAAATTTGTAAGCTCCCTCTAAGTTCTATCCAGATTAATTAAATTTGATCTTTAAAGCATAATGAATTATTCTTCATAATTTAAGCAAGAATTAGTTCTTAACTATCAGATTCTGGCGCTTAAATACTAATTTATCTTACTCTCCTTTTTGTCATTAATAAAAATAAATAAATAAAGGAAATAGAAAAAAACACTGAAGAAAGATGTCATTAAATCAAAGAAAATAATTGTCAGATTGCAAATTATTTCATAATAAGTGAACAAAAAATTCAAAAACATCAGAATGGTGCTAAGTCCTAAGGCCTATGATAGATTCTTCAGAATCCCTAGAATAACCTTGATGCCAAACCCCATATCATTCTATTTTGTCACTAAAGAATTCAGCCGAGCATCCATATCCTCTTATTTGTTGACAATAGAATCCTGATTTGCAACTATCATCTGAAGCTAAGTGTCGCAACTGTAAAAAACAACCGGCGAAAACAAACAGAAGAGTCGCCATCGAACTTTGTTTATCCCAACGAAGGGAAAGGAAATGATAGAATAAAACCTAAAAAAACGGAGAAGACAAGGTCATCGCAACCAAATTTTGGGTTCGGGAGTCAGTTACACAAGGGGAAGGTGTTAACACCCCATCATGTCCGTTGTACTCAACGGGATCCATGCTTGTTGTCTAATCAAAGAGTGTGTTATCTAAAATCTACTGCTAAACGGAAACGGAAAGGAAAAAGAAAAAGGAGACTCGATAGGACATCACCGCCCTATGCCTACGTATTCCCTCGTGCAATAGGAAAGTCAGAGTCAACGTAGTTCGGAAAACTATGGGTGAAGGGGGGAAGGTTGCTCGCCAAGACATCTCCATCTTGTGCCTACGTATCCTCACTTGGTACGAGAAATCAGAGCATTCGTAGTTTGGCTAACGAAACCACAGGTTGGTTAATTGTTTTTTATGAGCGATGTTAAGTTCCCATTCCAGCTGTTAGAGTCGATGTCTGTTTGCGATAGAACGGAAAAGTAACATAGTCTTTCTTAAAATGAGTTTGAAACAAATCTCGAAGGATAAAAATTTTGAAATTTGTTTGTGATTTTTAGTGAAATGAATTGAATTAATTCGTGATTCACGTTGCACTAAAGAATATGATATAGGAACGAATGCGTCACATATCTCTCCCAGACGGGACGTACGCTAAACACTGTAGACGAGCAAGAAGAGACCCCTCACTCATCATTTCCCATATGCTTAAGGCTCGTGGTACACAATGTTCATCGTATTTATTAAGTGTGTTAGAATTTTTTTGAGATGAGAAGAGAAGACGCACAGAAGGTCTAAC